TCCCTCCGACATGAGGTAACTTTGAAGCAGCTTTTACGACGACAAAGTCATTCAAAGACCCTCCCTCCTTCGTTTGCCTTGTTTGTTATAATAGTGAGAACCGAACGAAGCCGGCCGAAGCAAGTCTCGAACGAAGCCGAGCCGAATGAAGCGGAACTTAAAACCGATCGGCAACGTGTTTCTTCCACGACGATTGCGTTCGATGTGCCACGCCAGATGGAAAATCCGTGTTCTGTATCGTGACGACAACGACAATGAAGGGATCTACCAAGCTTTATTGTTGAATATCCTCTTTACATTACGCCTTGCTATAATTAGCTTCGAGGATGACGTTTCCCACTATCCACGAGGATGAGAGAAAATATGAGAATTCTCTGATAATATTCAATCGAACGCGAGCATGACCCGGAAGAAATCAATACACGACCTAAAGATACCGATTGGTCGCGTCCGCTAGGTCGACGAATAGTGCGAGAGAGAATGAGAAAGAGAGTGTGAGACGTTTATCGAAAGGATACGCTGCACTCTCCTTTTAACAAATCCGGATTTACCAACATCCTCGCTCCGGATATCGATTAACTTCTATCCAAGCTATTATTCAAAGACCCAAGCGTTTGCCTAACCTACGTTTATTTTTAACAACCGATCTTGTCAAACATTCCTCGCACACGTGCTTTTTTATTATTTCATAATTGTTCATTTTTATAATGGACTCGTCGTCGTGTTGACATATAAATGCATAGATGGAACTAACGTAAAATTGACAAAAATTATATATCTATGCACCTGAGATTCATTTTACACTGTACTTTTTTTTTACACTATTCCATTTAACATGTTTTAGCTACGATTATGCAATTTCCTAATGCGTTTTATTCATTTTTGTAAAAATTGTTTTCAAATACAGTTTACTATTTTTAAACGACAATCTTTTCTATTATATACTTAATTTAGAAAATGTTTTTATCGAATAAAGTTCTAAATTTTCAATTACTTTTCTAATATTTATCGATCATTATCACAAAATAATAACAATGTTATGTAACGATACAAAACGTATTCCTGATTTATTTATTACTCGACGAATATAATATCTTTATCATTTATTTTCGGTTTCATTAATTCGTGAACAAACGAAAAAAAATGTTCCGTAAAAATGATTACCTGTTTTCGAGAAAGGATAACATAAAGCAAGAGAGAGAGAGAGAGAGAGAGAAATACGGTGAACGAGATCACAGGCTTTGAATTTTATTAAGCATTCCCGAAGCGAAGGCCGTGCCACACAGTGAAAGGGTTGCAAACACGTTTGTGGCTTGTCGATGGCCCATTCTGGAGCAATAATGATCGATCGAACGATCGAGAGCTCGATTTACGATCGTCTGCCACTTCGTCTCTGTGACGATGCAATGACGAAAGCATTGAAGTGTCGTTATCTCCTATCGTGAAACCGTTTTCAGGAAACGTGATGTGGAAGAAGGGAATACCATTATTCGAACTTAGTTTCTAAGCATGTTCCGTTAGATATCTACGACATGATCAATTCAATTCTACTAATTTTCATCCATAGACTCAACGTGTAAAAGAAAGAATGTATGTTTAAGTAATTGATATTTAAAATTTTACAGAAACAATAAAATCACTATAAAAATATAACATTCAAAATATATCATTAAATTACTTGTTAAATAATTGTAATTATGAAAGTGAACTTAAATACAAATATTATCAAAATTCGATTTTAATCGTTTAATTTTATACTACGGATATAATTATAATATGAAATAAATCATAATTATTGTTTAAAGATAAAAAGAAAAACATAAAAAGGCATGTACTATAAAAAGTAATATAAATAACATGTTAAAATATCACACACACACACGTAACAAATATTTCTGAAAATGTTAAATGACGAATTCGCATTAAGTTAAAAGAAAAGAAAAAAGAAAAAAACATTCGATGCATTCGACTGTAAAAAAAAAAAAAAAAGAAAAAAGAAAAAAGAAGTAATTTTACAGATGGAAGAGTCGTCGTAAACGCGTGAAAAAAAGTATTTTCGCTCCGAAAATGTCAAACAATAAAAATAGACAGGTGGCAGAGAGGGGAATAGTAGATGGACCTCCCACGAGAGATAGGAAAAAGAGAGAGAGAGAGAGAGAGAGACAGTTAAGCGTCGGCAGGAAGCATCGGAATGCTGAAACGCACCAAGATCGTATACAACGAAGCTGAGAATGCAAAAGAGGAAGTGAAACGACGTGCCTCCGAGCCGTGAACACGGTTTCTGACGCTTCAACAAAGGTACCCGGAATCGCATTGCTTTCTGGGTTAAGTACACAAGACGACTAGGAAAAAGAAGTGGAAATATAGAGGAAAGAAAGCGTGGTAGTTAGACGAAAAAACGCGAATAAATGCACAAAAGGTATATGGTAGGTTATCTTGATAACCAAATAAATATAAATAGCTTGATTTAATATAATAAAACTTAAGCTATATGTAAAAATGTGTAAATGAATGTGTTCATTGTAAAATTCATTGAAATAATTATTCTTCTCTCTTCATTTTTTTCTGATTAGTAATCCAATATTAAACGAATCCACGAATATTAAAAATCGTATAAATCCAAATAGAAATACAAAACACTTCAACTAAAAGTATTCAGCACTCAAAGGGTTAACACCTACTAAAGTTAGAATAATGCAAAGTACATTTGTTTAAAAAAATCACATATCTATTAATATACTTTCAATATTAAACACAATTCTGATTTGATATTTGATTAAATGAAAATTTTCAACACAAAATCATTACTAATGCCAGAAACGATAAAACAAATATATTTTAGTTGAAACGAATCTAAAATATTAGTAGAATATAATACTGTGTTAGATTTATCTTAATTGATTAATTATTAATCGATAGAGGTGTCTATTATTGTCTGAAAGCTCGGTGTGTATGATCTACGTACCGTCCTCTTCGAAATCCATCGTTAGACTGGCACGTTGTCCTCTGTGAAAGTTCTTTTATTGAATGTTGTTTACTTGACTTTCCGAAAAAGGAAATTCTATTTATTACGAATATTACTTTTTGTTATGCATATGTAGTCTTCGGAAAGTCATATAAACAACATTCAATAAGAAAAACTTCCACAGAGGATAACGTACCAGTCTAATGGTTGATTTAGAAGAGGATGGTGCACCGAACATATACCACGTGCTCTTAAATAACAATATACATTTCCTTCGATAAATTAACAATCATTTACGGTATATCTAATACAATACTCTACTCTACTAATATTTAGAATTGTTTAAACTAAAATATATTTGTTAATTCTCTTTTCATAAAGACAGAGAGAAAGAGAGAGAAAGAAAAAGAAAAACAGAAATAGTCAAAGTGTTTTACAGATACGCGTGTGTCTATGTGTGTGTGTGTGTGTGTGTGTTGCTGACATTTATATTATCTTTAAATATCAAGTATATATCTTGTGCAAATAGTGTAAAATAAAAATGCGTGGTTTTTATCTTTTGTTCTTTTTACAGAATGGAAAGAAGTCAACATGCTCGATAGAGTAATCGTGTATTATTGGATATACTTCGAACGAAGAAGAGGCGTTATCGAACGCTCACAGATGAGAAAAATAAAAAGAGAATAATAAAAGAAGACCCTTAGAGCTTGTTGCGTCCCTTCAATAAGCACGTACGTATTAATTGAACATCAATAAGTGCCCTCGACTTATGGTGTACTCAACGAACATTTGACATTCGCAAATGGAAAAAAAAAGATCTACTGAACCTTATTCGTTGAAGAGAGATTCTGTATTTGTTTGTTGCAATTGATTGCAAAGATAATCGTTCCTTTCTTTTCTTGTTTTCTTCATTAACATCCTTTTTACGCTTACCAAATATTTATGATTAAAAAAATTCTTCGTAGTAGATTTATCAGTAACGTTTAAAGGATACACTACGTCTCGTTCAAAAAATGACTACTCTTAGCACATCTCCAAAGGCGATCTTGTCCGTATCGGTACGCCCTGTATAGCAAAATTCAAAATCAGTAACGCAGATGCACTTTGCGAACGTCTCTTAAGATCTTTCGCGATTCTCGTTAGCGAGTCCTAATTTTGAAAGAGTTTTCCACTCGATCTTCATCGAATTAATTGAAAGAAGATAAAATGTATTTATGTACATGTAACCGAGAACAAGTGGAATCCACTTCATACAATGGATAATACAATCCAAACGCGCATAATGCAAGAGGATTTGTTCAATGTTCAAACAAACAAAAAAGAAAAAGAAATTAATAAAAATAGAGAGAAAAGGAATCGTGATTTTCAAGTAGATTCAACAAAATGTGCGGAAGGATTTGCATACCTATGTGAATGTAAATTATCCCACCTGTGTTGTTGCCTAGTATACAATGCCGTGCAATGATTGGCCAAAGGCACGCATGTTCTAACTGGTATATTGGTCACAGTATGTATACGTTAGCTTCGCATATCTTTCCACGTAGATGGGAGTGTTCATTTGTGTGTATGTGTACATGTTACGAGCAAGATAGAGCTCAAGTTGAACGAGTTATGTACTCGTACTTTCAACGAGACTACGCGTACGTATATATGTAGTAGATATAAATGTGTGTACTTAACACGACACTTCTTACAAAGGTAGTCGGTTAAAATTAGACGAGAACGGAAAGGGTTTTATTGAAATTACTCGACACGTCGATAGTTAAACGCAAAACTACTTGACGGATTTTAAATGATTTCCTAGCAGTGTTTTTTAATGAAACACCCATACGATAAAAGAAAAGATTTTCAAGGAATATATCATAAATTATACGTTACTAGCCTATTCCATCACCCCAAAAAAAAAATGTATTTTTAGGATATAAGAAAAGGTTTAATTATGAAATTCAAAAATATATATACTTTGAGAAAAAACGAATTTAAAAAGATGAAATATTATTTTTAAATAAAATTGAGAAAAAATGTTTTAACTCACCGTCGTCTTCTCTAAACAACGAAGTAAATGATGATGTTGTAATTCGAAAATATCCTCCTCCTTGTAGTTTTCGTCTAACGTCAAACCACTCTCCTGCGCAGCTAATCGAGCTTCGGCTGCTTTCTTTTTGCTGACAAAGGCTGCACCACTCGACGCTTTAGCAATCCTAATGCGAGCCAACCTCGCTTTCTGTAAAAAAGAAAATAATCGTCATTCAATTAACAAGTAGTTTTCATATTTGTTCAAATAAATTAGGAAAGAGAAAAATTAAAAGATCGAAATTTCAAAAACGAGCCAAGCACCTTATAGCAAATACATACAAATGTATATATATATTTACACCTATATTAAATATATTTATTGATATGTACGTATGAGTATGATTTTTCGAGTGTGTAACGCAATTGGCGAGTTTGACACTGTTAATTCACAAAGCGTCTTTATACTATCTTCTCTATTAAATGTTTTATGTCGTTCCAATATATCGGAACATCGATGAAAGATATTTGGGATTTATTGATTATCATTTAACCTACGTTAGAATGATCATACATTTTAAACTTTAAAACTTCCGTTCGACTTTGTTAACAATTTCCTAAAATTACTATTATCGCTCCGATATATGTATCTTATTTACATGTGCATGAGTAATTTACGACTCAAACCGACTAACTCAATTTTTAGAATTTTGTTTAATTCTATTATTATTTGTATTATTGACATATATATTTCATTTATTCTTTGCATTTTATATTTAAAATAAATTTCTTCAATAATTAGGCTATTTACAATTTTTAATAACCATTCAATTATAAAATATACGAAAATGTATACTACTTCATGAAATGTATTTACATTTCGTTGGGCTTATATACAAGCTTACGTTAAATGAAAAAATAAATTTCAAATATTTTAATATATTTGAATAATTCACCAGGGCGCGTTAATTATTCAATTAAAACAGAAATTAACCTAATGGTTATTCTCTTTTATATCTAATATAAAGTATATTAGGAAAATAATTTAAAACACACTGCGTAGAACATTCTATACAAGTTTTCGTTTAAAACGTGGTACGCAATATTTTCAATATATAAAACAAAAGATAATTACCTATCGCGTGGTAAAAAAACATAAATTATAATTTTATTCATGCTCACTCGAAATCCAATTTCTTTTATTTGAATCTATTCAATTAGCTTTATTTGAGAATTCTGCAAATAGCAGAATTCTATTGCATATACCAAGCTCATTCGCTCCCTCTCGCTCATTATCCGTAGAAAACAGAATTTTTTTACAAAAAATACATCCCTTTTTCTTTCTCTCTCTCTTTCTATGAAGACGCAAACGGAACTTTTCTTCTCTCTCTTTTCCGTTTGATTGAAAGCCTTTCTTTTCCTTTCCCATCCACTCTTTAGAAAAGAATGATCCTGAAAAAATCTTTCTATCTTTTAAGAAAGGTTAGTTCTTATATTCCATTTCGTATAAATACGAAACGAATAAAAGATGATAACGCACATTACCTTCTAATAATATAGTACATATTATGAAAATAATTTTGCATACAAAAAAAAAACAAATATTTGATATAAGTATATGCCTAAGATTTTTTAAACTACACATTCATTTCGCGGAATATGACAACGATCACGTCAACGTGGCACATTTCTAAAGATATCTTGTGATATTTTAAGAGAGATTTCGCTCAAGAAAATTTCATAATTCATTTGAAAACTGTACAGGTAGTTTTCTATTTTACTAAGAATTCACATTCCAATTTCTTTTTCGTAAATTAAAAACTCACTTTAATCATAATTACAAAGTAATAAACATAATTTGTTTCTGAAAATTCATTTCTTTTTTTTTTTAGCGAAAATCGTAATATTTTCGAAAACGCTTTTTTTAATATTATATTAATGTAAAAAAAATTGTTTAAGTTGAGTAATTATATACGAATAATCTACATACTCGCATTAAAAATCGTAATCGTGAACGTACGCAAAATAAATAGAAGAGATAAGATCGGATAGTTTTATAATGACTTCTATGAGATCATAGAAGCAGTTAGACTATTAGTCGTACTTGAATAGAAAGGAAAGAAGATATCTCATGGAAAGGACACGAAAGCTCGCGGGACAATGGCTCGTTAGATTTCGCGTGCAGGTCCATTTCGTATCGTGTCGCATGTTAAAATAGGAAAAGAGAGTGGATAAAGTGGGAGGGTGTAAGGGAGTTAGGGAGAAGTGGGACTGGCGTTAGCGATCACATAAAGTGGACTGCAGAAAATGCATCAACCGCAGGCCCTTGATTCAAAAATCGCACGAGCTCAGCAAAAGGAGTCGTTATACCAACAATGACTTATTGTTCCCTGTCCCGTTGAAGAATTTGTTGTTTTCCTTTTTCTACCCGCTATTCTCCTTTACCTTCCATCAAGCCCCTTTTTTGCATATACACCAAAACTTTAACTTCTATATCTTCTATCTTGTCCAGAACACTCATTCTCGCTTGATCAATTAAGCTTTTAACGAAGATTTTCGGTTGGGAAAATGACCGTGCTGTACCATTAAAGCTTTGCGCTTCGCAAATACGTGACGTTCGTGTAATGCCATTTTAAATGCAGCCAAATCGCGCGTCGCGCGCACCTACCCTACTTTCAACCAACCCAATCGCCAACTTCCATTTCCGTGATGATTATGTATATGAAGGACGAGACATTTCACAACCGACTGGTTCACTCTTATCGTTTCTTCTTCCTATCGTTACTTGTATATTAGATCGTTCCACTAGTCTATTATTTTTCCTTACGTTAATTTTACATGGACAATATTTTATATTTTACAGAGTTTATTGAAGAGAATTATATGAAATTATATAAATATAATTATATGAAAATTAATCAAATTTTATTCATTAGATAATAGCTTTTAATTGTAAAATAAAATTAGACGAATGAATACGAGACATCAAAAATAATATTTATTACGAAGGATTATATTATCAAGAAAGTTATCAAATAGATCATGACAATATCACACTATCGATATATTTGCATATACAAATAGTAATTAGTTCGTACTGATGTGGAAGTCAAACATATGCTAATTAGGATTCTGTTTAGAATTCTAATGTTGCTATATGCGTCATGCAAATAAACCAAACAATTGTTTAACCTGACAGATTAGAACAAGTAATTAATAGCATTCATAATGATTTTTCTCAAGATTTAATATACATTATTTTCTTTTAATCATTAATTCATGTATTATAATAATGATAAGTAAACATAGAATATTGGGATTATCAAAGCTTTGTAATTCTAAAAATAATTATGATACAAGATAGTATGTTTATTTATATTTGTTGTTAGATTAAAAATAGAATGTAAATAATTGCTAAACGTTACAGCAAGTATTATTGTAATATTAGACATTTAATTACAAAGTCTCAATACAAAGATATATTTTTTATAATAACAATCTGCTGATTGGTATGAAAAAATAATTAAAATTGTATATCGCAACTTTGCTACGGACAAGAATTAATATCTTATCGAAAACGAATAAATAAGTAAAATAAAAATGTTAATGGTGAAAATATATTATATTTCGGTCAAGGTCTATCAATCCCATAAGGAGACCAACGAGCAAAGTCTTGCTTATCGGAAAGGAAAATAACAAAGTAAGTGTAAGAGGACAAAAATAGTTTATCGATAATAATAATATAGAATTCTGTAGCGTAAATATAGACAAAATGAAGAAAAAGGGTAGAAAGAAAAAGGAAAATCAATGATGGTTTAATTTGACGATTCGAATTTTTCAATCCACATTAGAAACATTTAGCAATATGTATGATACTATTAAAGCCAGATCAGGTGGAAGTCGGTAAGTCGGTCAATTTGTTAGCTCGTACAAATTGCAATATAAATTTAGGGACGGTGACTATGGGTACGATATAAAGCTACACTTCTGCCAACAAGCGCCATCTGCTTAAAGGTAAAACGTCGTATTTATAGTGCGTCAGCTGTACGCAATGGCATATGTTTTCGCGGTGAAACTCTTAGCAAACGTCGTTGTCGTCGTCATCAATACTCGTAGATCGTGCAGCTCGCAGGTGTCCGTGTCAAATTTCTTACAGAACTAGACGAAACTCGTAACTCTTATAACATTTGCCGAAAATCGTTTTTAATCAAAGAGATTCGATACGAATGTAATAAAGAATATATGGTGTTGAAGAAAGTAATGACTACTTATAAGTTAGATCGTTATGGAAAATAAAAAAATAAAAAAAAATAAAAAAGAATAAAATTGAGAAGAAAACACAAAGTAGAGAGTTAACACATCACAAACTATATTCGCACAAGTTCTACGAAAAACAGTCAAAGTAATAAAATTTCGCAGCTAGGCCCATATTTCACGAGATAACGACACGTTGCGATCATTACCGAATCTCTAAGAGTAAACTTAAGCTTGGCCGAGATGCATAAAGTTGACCGACTGCGACGAAAACACAAAGCGTCGTTCAATGAACGCGCGAGGAATCGCGTTTATGTGACAACGTCAAATGTCATCGTTGCAACGGCACGGATAAGCGGTCTCGCGGCCAACCGTGACTGGCAATAAAAGCTCGGAAGCTCTTCTCTCCGTCGTTTTCATCCTCGTAGAAATGATTCTCTCTCTCAACTAACGCGACGATAAGATCAACAACAAGTTTTTTGACAATTTTCGCGAATTTGAGAAAATTACTGAACTCCGACAGCCAAGTTTGATAACGTTAATTGTAAAAGTTAACAAATGATACATAATTTGTCTTTCATTCATGTTTCACGCGTATAAAACTTGTGCTTGTCGTATGTTTAACTCTTCGTCGTTTGAATTATTCTCGCCATTTCGTGTCAACTGGCCCACAATGAACTGGTCACTTTTAATCAATATCTCTCTAGTAGCTTCGCCGTTATTTCATATTTTACGTTTATATTTTATAGTCAAATTTAACATTCCATAATAAAATTTAATTAATATAATCCCGTATTTATATAAATTTATTTTTATTAAGTATTCTTACAATTCATGTAAAAAATTTGACGTAGAACTGCCAAGGATTTTATTTTTTTTTTAAGAAATATATGAAAAGATTCTCTTTATGTTTCATTATACTTTTATTACTATCAACAATAGTTAAATTCTCGTGAA